CAGTTTAGACAATCTACCAGATTGATGGATTAACATGAAATGCATAGTGAATATGATTGAGATATTTTATGTAACTCTGCTTTCAAAGGTACATTTTTCCTAAATATTATCATAATCATATCTGGGGGTTGGCAAGTGATATGATTTTCATGTAAGCCTTAAGGCACAGAATTTCTTTTTTGGGTGCTGAATAAACAAAGACAATGGGGGAGGTGGTAAGTATGGCAAGAGGGATCAGGCCAATGTCACAACCCCAGTCTCACCACTGACCCAAGAAAGCCTAGTTAGTCCTCTCTGCTTAACACTACCTAGTTTACCTGATTCAGGAACCTAGTTAGTCCTTTCTGTTTAACACTAACCAGTTTATCTTATTAAGGGACCTAGTTAGTCCTCTCTGATCAACACTAACTAGTCTACCTGATTAAGGGACCTAGTTAGTCCTCTCTGATCAAAACTAAGTAGTCTACCTGATTTTTGAGTGGCAACTCAGTCTCCTTTGGTTTTATTTTTCTTGCCATCACACTCCATTTTGAAAACAGAAGAATAGATGAGCAAGGCAGGTTGAATGCCTCATGCCTTTTCCATCAGAATTTTTCACATTACATTTGACTTACTGTATTCTCATTTTATGTGATTATTTAAATGTTACAGATAACAACCGGAGAACATGGGAATTATTATAAATATGGGATTATTTGGGGATTTACCTGTGAAAAGGACAGATGCCTATTTCTTTTGGCTAATATTATATTATAATGTAACTCAAATGGCCACAATCTTCTTCAGAATCAGAGCTGAGAAAAAGCTTATTTTTAGAGGTCTAGAATATAAAATTTCAAAGCCATTGGTGCTATATTAACACTCCTTGTTGGCTTATGATTGGCACACAATTTAGACAGGCAGGCAAGAGACATGACTGTGTTTTTCTAAAGTTTACCTAACTTCTATTAACCCAGCCTGAACTGGGTTAAATAATGTGTCCTTCACCTCAATTCATGTCCACGGAGAACCAGTGAACATGACCCATTTGAAAATGAGGTCTTTCTAGATGTAGTCCAATTCAGATGAGATCAGGCTGAGTTAGGTCAAGCCCTAACAAGAAAGGGGGAATTTGGGCGCAAATGCAGAGAGAAAGTCACGTGGGGACGGAGGCGGAGACTGGAGACACGTTCCTACAAGGAGGGGACATGAAGAACCACTGGGGACTGTCGGAAGCCAAAGGGGACAAGAGCACTTCCTCCTTTGGAGACTTTGGAGGGAACATGGCCCAGTTGCCATCTGGATTTTGCACGAGCCCCTGCAAAAAGAATTAATGGCTCAAAATGTCGGTATTGTCTCCATGAGAAACCTGGACCTGGAGTGTAGAAACGAGGAGATGGAAAGATGCCTCTTCCACCTTCCTTTCTCTTGTCATAATCCTTTTTTTTTTTTTTAGTGTTAATGAGAAAAGGAAAATATCGAGTCACTGACTGTTACACCAAAAATCACCCTGACACTTCCAGGGAAAGATATTTGAAAATTCTTCCAACTTTGATAAACTCTTAACATAAAAATTTTAAACAGAACATTAGTGCTTGTTTGTGACTTCTGGGTTGGCTAGGAAGCCAAATCACCTCTATTGTGTGTATGGTGGAGGGGGGGACCCCCCACTTTGGTGCCCAAACTGCTGATTAACTGAAATGATTTAGACAAATATATATTTTAGCTAAACCGCATCAAGTTAAGAAATCTTGGTCTGAGAATGTCTTGTCTCTCTTACCAGCTGTCCTTGTAGGCAACTTTACTTTGTTGGGCTGTCAGTTTTCTTATTATGTGTTAGAAGCTCACACTTGCTTATTGTTAAAATGATGCTCCCAAGCCTTTCCTTTATGATTTAGGGCCATATTGTGAATAGAAGGAGTTTTTCATATTTAGATTCCCCGGGCACTGATAGAAAAATCTTTTTAATGTCATTCTTTGGAAGTTCTCTTGTTGAACTGCTACGTCCAACAATATAAAAAATATATAAAAGCTGTATCTTTTCCTCCATGTGCCCTTCATTAGAGTAAAAGGGAAGCTGCTGATTAAAGAGACCCACCAACACAGTGACTACAAGCCACAGTTCCCAGACTGCCGTGCGTTTGGACATGATCAAGTTTCCATTAGTAGAATGAGTGGAGAAGTGAGGCCTCCAAGTGCCCACTCCAGTCCTGAAAGCCTGTGACTTTGCCTCTGCCTGAGCTTGGAGACTCCGAGTCCTTGAGAGACCGTGTGGTAGGGGCTTTCTGGAGTGGTGCTGCTGGGAAGTAGTGAAACCTTTAGGAGGTGAGCCAAGTGAGAGACCTTCAGGTCACTGGGGGTCGTGCCTTGGAGGGAGATGGTACAGCTTGGGTCTCATCCTTCTCTTTGACTTCCTGGCCACGAAGCAAACACTTTCATTTTGCTATCAGCTCTTTTCATGGTTTGCCCCACAGGCCCAGATCACTGAGACCAACCAACCATATCCCGAGAACAGCTGAAACAGACCCTTTCTTTTGCTAAATGATTATCTCAGGTAGTTGAGAACTGGAAAACCAACTCTCCATTATCTTGCTCTCCCTTTTTCTATAGCAGTTCAGTTTCAAAGAGAGGGGACGTTGATGGCCGAGGGGCTGGAACGGTAGGATACCGGAATTTATGCCATGGTCAGAGGGCACCTAGTGGGAGCTGGTTCTCTCTACTGTGTGGATTCCAGGAAGGTGGAGCAAATGCAACTCAAGCTGTCAGCCTTTCCCCTCTAAAGCGTCTGACTGGTCCCTGAGAAATTCTTCTCATAATGACTGAGACAGCAAACCACAGAAACACTCCTTCTGGTAAGTCCAGAGTGACTCACATGATCTGCTCCAAACTGACCTTTCTGTTTTTTAAGGATGACATACGCTCTCCTTTAGGCTTAAAATATTTTCTTCTGTGCTGTACTACTCTGGTTATAAAACTTTTAAATATCGTTCTTCATGCTTCGCCAGAGTGGAGGGTGGATGGCTCTTTTCTGAGGTGTCTCTGCCCAGCTGTCTCTGGTGGCCCTTTGAAAAGAATGCTGGAGAAAAGACTTGGGCTTTGAGGGGCTAGGGACAGTGGCGGATGCTGAATGATGGTTTAGATGGTCTTGGTGTTTAATGGAAAAGCAGCAGCTTATTGCCAGAGTCTGCTCAAAAGTGACTTCTCTCTCTAGCAAATGTTCTCGCTGATTGTCGCTCTAGCTTCTCCCCTGAATGTTATGACAGTAGTCAAGGATCATTGTTCAATGTCCATTCAGACATTAATCTAATTCTGCCATGCACTCCAATGGTAGATGTAGTGTTGTTTTGACTCTAAAAATAGAAACTGTTTTATTGGGATAGATATCTATTTAGTTATAAGAAAATGAGTAAGAGAAAGACTTTTGTATGTGTCCAGTTGTGTAGACAAAGAAATGAACTCTTCTTTTAGTGATGTTTCCCACCCCCCCATCTCAAAAAGCAAAGTTGGTTCCCTGATCACTGCTCTGAAATGAAGTCATTTTGGCCATCATATCGACCCTTCCTCTCACTTTTCTGTCTACAGGCCTATCTTGTCTACTTGGCACAGGACTGTCACAGGAGTTAATGTTTGAAATTAAAATTCTCTCCAACAGACTGAGGAAATTTGAGTTAGAGTGTTAGTCCACTGACTTTCTCCCCAGTGAATGTCTCCTGATGATTTTAAATCGATCTGTTGGAAAGAAAACGCCTTTGCAAGTTTTAATCTTGGCTTCAGTGTATTACCCTGCAGAAGGTCTTTTCAAGGAATGAGTGGAAGTTTAAATCAGTACTTTTCCAGCTGTGACTCTGTGTATGAGCAGGATCCCCATCTTTCTTTTGATGCTTTCCTAGGAAGAGAATTCCCAACAGGGGACATTTTGAGGAGTTGTTGCATGGATTCTGTGTGCTCCCTCTGTTTTGATACACTGAACAAGGAATGTTGATGAGACATGAGGCAGAACAGCTTGTCCCTCCACAGCTATTTTGACTTTGAAATGCTGGCAGTAGTTAAAAGAGAGAGAGAGAAGGGGGAAAAAGAGGAAAAAGTTGAGGGTGTTAGCTAAGCAAACACATGGAGCTTAGAGGAAGGCTTAGGAACAAGCAGGCTATTCTCGGTATCCAGAGCATAGGAACTTTCACTTCCAGTTCGTGAATGAACAGTACTTGGACTCTCTAGACGGCCCCAGTCTCTGTAAGTGTTAATGGAACAAAGGGTGCCACTAATGAAGCAAGATTCAAGCACTCCATCATCAAGTTTCAGCACAAAGAGGGTAAGGCTGAAGGATGGCTTTCTCAAAGGATGCAGAATGACGCTGCAAATAGCAAACTAATTGCTAAAAAGACCTGTTATGCTAGATACTAGTAAGTAAGGATTATCCAGAAGAAATGAACAGTAAGTTATCCTAGTGGACCAGAAGCTTTTTAGAGAAAATAAATGACAGTTCTGAGTTGCTGCTTTTTAAAAAAAATATATCTATAGGATAATGTGCCAGCTCTGAACTATGGCTTTAAGAGGCATGGCGGGTTTCATTGGCCTCTCTTATATTCCTGCCATCTGCCATGACTGTAGCACGTCAGAGTTAGCCACAGCTCTTTTTGCTTGAGTTTCAGAATTGGAGATATAAGAAACCGGCTTGACTCTGTGCCCGTCTGGGACTAATTGAGCTCTTCTAACTTACTGCTGGCCTGCAAACAGGTGAGGGAGAAATAGATGGGCGTTTTTCTTTGTTTTGAACCACTGAGATTTAGCAATTGTTTGCTATGTAGAACTATTGGAACAAAGCTCGGTGAAAACACTTTTACTGGATGTCTCTTTTATAGAAGTTGTTAGCATGTGAGGCAGATCTGAGGACCTGCCTCAGCTTCCCCTCAGCCTGTTGGTTGCTCAGCCCAAGCTGTCATTGTGGATCACAATGGCACCCAGTCAACTTCACCAACAGAGTTTATGATACTTCTCATAGCTTTTTCATTTCATATGAAGCCCACAGAGCTGTGTGCTGTACTTAGTGTCTTAAATGACTACCACAGAGCTCATGACTCAACTCAGGAGTGTGTGGCATTCTCCTGGAATATTCTCTGATCATAGGAAACTGAAGGTGGGTAGGTGGCTTCTGCTTCAGTTTCTGTATCCAGGTTCTTGCTTTGAGTTCTTGCCCAACTTCCTTTGATGCTTGTGGTAGTTTGAATGTAATTGGCCCCCATAAGCTCATAGAGAGTGGTCTTATTAGGAGGTGTGGATTTGTTGGTGTAGGTATGGGCTTGTTGGAGGAAGTGTGTGGAAGTAGACTTTGAGGTCTCATATATGCTCGTCATGCCCAGTGTCTCAGACCACTTCCTGTTGCCTGTGGATCAAATATGCACAATTCTCAGCTCCTTCTCCAGCACCATGTCATCTGCCTACATATTATCATGTCCCATCATGATAATTTTGGACTGAACCTCTGAACTGTAAGCCAGGAAAATAAATGTTTTCCTTTTTAAGAGTTTCCATGGTCATGATGTCTCTTCACAGCAATTGAAATTCTAATCAAGATAGAAATTGGTACCAGGGACTAGGGTATTGTGATGATAGGCTGGACCATGTTTTTGTTTGGAGTAATATAGACTGGGAGTTTGGGCTAGGAAAGCAGTGGGATGCTTTAAGCACTGCTTAAGGAGCCATTCTAGTAGGAGCATGGAAGACAGTGGTGCTAAGAGTGATTTGACCCAAAACCAACAAGAGGTTTCAGAGGAGAAGAATATTAATATGTGGCCTAGAGATTGTTCTCGTGTTATTTTGGTGAAGAAAATGGCTGCCTTTTGCTCTTGTCTGAAGAGTCTGCCTAAAGCTAAAGTGAAGAGTTTTGGATCAATTCCATTGGCTGCGGAAATCTCAAAACAGCCTAGTATAGACTCTGTCATGTGGTTATTAGTGCTTAACTCTAATGAAGATTTGTAATGAAAAGGAACAAGCCGAGAAGGGTAAATTACAAAATGTACAGTTTGAGGAGAAAAGGAGCACCAGGAAGTGGAATGAGGCATTCAAGGAGATAAACAGATTAAGCAATGGAATAAAGGCAGTGGTGACCTCAGGGCAAGATCCCACCCAGCTAAGTTTCTAATTTGTGAAAAGGAATTAAAGAAAAGCTTAGAGCCATGTGTGGTGGTGCAGGCCTTTAATCCAAGCACTCAGAAGGCAGAGGCTGGTGGATCTCTGAGTTTGAGGCCAGCCTGGTTAACAGAGCAAGATCCAGAACAGCCAAGCTCAGGTAGTGAAGGAAACCATTGAAAATAGAAAGCTGGCGAAGATGTAATTGAATGAGGAGGCCATGTTCCAGCCTCAGCAAGCAACAGAACTTGGCATCTTTGGCCACATGGTTCTGGCTTCAGAGTCAAGGATAGAAGACAGGCATTATGGAATCTCCCTCTGCAACTAAGGAAGGCCACTGAGGCCAGGCATGTGTCAGGTGTGTTTGAATGGGGGGCTAGAGAGGCCATTATGTGAAGCTGTGAAAGTTAAGCCTGGACTGCCTTGGAGACTCCAACATGTTGGAGATGCTACAGTTGTTGGATACCTGCCAAGGAGAGCTGCTAACAGGGAATGGAATCTGCTCAAGAGAAAGAAGTGTGTTGTAGACAACAAAGCTGAAAAGAATTGACAATATGAAGAGCATTTTAACATCAGACCTGGAGATGCAGAGTCTCCTTGGCTTGTTTTTGGTCTTGCTTTGGTCCAGTGTTTCCTCAATATGCTCCCTTCGTATGTTTTAGAATGGTAATGTATATATGTGCTGTTGTATGTTGGAAGTATGAGATCTGTTTTTTTTTTTTTTTTTTTTTTTTGGTTTTTTGAAACAGGGTTTCTCTGTGTAGCTTTGCACCTTTCCTGGAACTCACTTGGTAGCCCAGGCTGGCCTCGAACTCACAGAGATCCGCCTGGCTCTGCCTCCCGAGTGCTGGGATTAAAGGCGTGCGCCACCACCGCCCGGCTGAGATCTGTTTTTTTGATTTTGATTTTATAGGGGGTTACAATTAAAAGACTGCATGAATCTCAGAAGAGACTTTCAACTTTGGACTTTAAAACATTGTTGAGACTGTGATAGACTATGGGGACTTTTGAAGTTGGACAAATTTGTTTTGCATTATGAGACTGTTACAAACTTATGGGAGTGAAATGTGATACTTTGAATATAACTGGTCCCCATAAGCTCATAGGGAAATGTATTATTAGGAAGTGTGGCTTTGTTGGAGGAAGTGTGTTACTGTGGAGATGGGCTTTGAGGTCTCATTCATGCTCAAGCCATGTCCAGTGTCTCAGACCACTTCCTGTTGCCTATGGATCAAAGATGTAGAACTCTCAGCTTCTCCAGCACCATGTCTGCCTGCATGCCACCACATGCCACCATGATGACAGTGTTCTAAGCCTCTGAACTGTAAGCCAGCCAATTCAATGCTTTCCTTTATAGAGTTGTCGTGGTCATGGTGTCTCTTCACAGCAATAGAAACTCTGACTGAGATGATGCTGAACTGTGATGTGGAACTATTAAGCCAAATAAACCCTCTCCTCCCCAAGTTGCTATTGGTCATGGTCTTTATCACATCAATAGAAACCCTAAGACACTCTCTCTCTCTCTCTCTCTCTCTCTCTCTCTCTCTCTCTGTGTGTGTGTTCGTGTGTATGTGAGTATATATACACACCAGTGTATGTGTACCTGTGGAGGCCAGAGAACAACATTGAGTATAATTCTTCTGTAGCCACACACCTTGGTTTTTGAGGCAAGGTCTCTCATTTGTCCTGGAATTTGGCAATGAAACTAGGTTGGCAGGCCAGAGAGCCCTGAGGACTCCCCAGCTCTGCCTTCCAGCACTAGGGTTATGAGTGTGTACCATCCACCCAGATTCTTTACTCGTGTTCTGTGGATCAACCTCAGGTCTTTATGCTTGTGGAGCAAACATTTCACAGGCTGAACTGTCCTCCCAGTCCAATCATATGTCACATTACTAACACAAACTGCAGAATGGATCACAGGGTCTATGTACTCTATTGTGCCCAGATTGCCTCATATTATATATTGCATATAGTGAATATACAGCATACTATATTAGTTAGTATGTACTTTGTTTAATAAATAACTTATTAATATTCCATTATTGTTAGTATTGTGATAAATCTAGAGTAATTCTATGTAGCACTCATGAATTTTAAATTAAAAAAATTGAATAAAATACTATCACAATAGGAACAATTTCTTTTGGTCCTCACTGTTTCATAGAGGCAGCTCTCAGTAGATGAATAGTGGAGTATTCATACCCAGATTTGATCCTTTGTATTTTCATATGCATTTTGGAACCTGTTTGTCAGCTTCTCCCTGACAAGGCGCTGGGGTTTTGATGAGGTTTGTACTGGGTGCGTAGATAGACGTGGTGAGAATGGCTGACAGCTGTTGGGAATTTACCTGTTCTACCTCACCACGTAATCAGAGCTGTAATTGTATCCCAAGGGTCTGGCACTTTTCACCGTGGAGGGCTCACATAGCTTGCAGTGCACTTGGCCCAGGTGTCTGTGGGTTTTGTGCTATTATTCATGATACTGATTTCAACTATGGTTTCTGAACGCTGTGTAGAGCTATAGCTGAGTTTTGTGTACGGAGTTTGTATCCTGCCCTCCATATCCTGCCATTTTTTCAGTTGTGTTGGTTTTCATGTGTAGGACAGTCCGAAAATAATCCTGTATTAGAATGTGTGGATAATCAGGTTGTTTGTGGAGAAGACAGTTTCACGTCTCTCTATTGATGTCTGTTTTAGTTTTGTGTTTCATTGACTATGTATGGGTGTTGTGTCTGCGTGCAGATCTGGGCACCACATGCGTGAGTGCGTGTGGAGGACAGAAGAGGGCATCAGATCCCATGGAGCAGGAGTTATAGGCAGTTGTGGGGGGTGCTGCATGGGTGCTGGGAACTGACCCAGGTTCTCTGCAAAAGCAGTCTGTGGTCTGAACCACTGAGCTCTCTCTCTTGCTCCTGTTGATGTCTTTCAGCTGTTTTTCTTTCTTTCTTTCTTTCTTTCTTTCTTTCTTTCTTTCTTTCTTTCTTTCTTTCTTTCTTTCTTTCTTTCTTTCTTTCTTTCTTTCTTTC